AATCTAGTGCTTGGGAGAAGGCCATACAAACCTGACAACCTCAGGCAGGAAAAACTTTATACCCACAACCCAGAGAGGTCAGAGGGAGACAAGCATACCCTGGACAGAGTAAAAGCAGAAGAGCAGGAAGCAGGAGGCATCCTTCAAAACCTTGAATGATGAAGCTTCTGACCCTGTAAGGCTGGAAGAAAATTATATAATACTTCAAAGAACCAATTATGATGGCAATGGGAGCTGAGGTTATCTCAGTGTCAGTGTTGGTATCCCCACAATGCACTGCCTGTGATGCCTAAAAATGTTTGTGATGCACCCCAGCCTCTAAGCCCTATGACCATCAGTTGCTGATAACCTTTACTCTCCCCTTAGTTCCATCTAGTCAGAGCACAAAATGGAGCTAGCAGCAGGACAGTCTTTCAACAATATACAATTATTGAAATTTCTACACCAGCCAGATTATTATTTCTACGTGTGTTTCAGAAGGTCATAAAGCACCAGGGAAGTGGTGGAAAAGTCTGACGTCAGTGGGATATAATGTTTGGAACAGCAACTGCAGAAATGCAAGACTGTGTAATCCTGACTGGTACCCTCCATGGGTGATGGATAGCAGGAAAGCTTCTGCCTTCTTTGTCTAGTGCTGCACAACAGGCTGCCAGTCTGGGGGCTGTACCAGAGAGGTGGTAACACCTCCAGCAAACCACTGCTGACCCTGGCTTGGGTGTCCCAGCAAAAGAAAGGACTAAGAACTGCTCTGTTGAGGTGCCAGACTGCTTCATGTGACACTCTGAAGGTACAAACCCCAAATCACCCTGCAGACATCACCCAGACCCATGAGTAAAAGCAATCTGGATGAATGAGCAATAAGTACAGGCAACCATAGGAGCACCCAGCTCAACATGACTAAGATCTTGATGGGAGCCTCCAGATGCCACTGTAACACAAATATAAAAGAGCCCATGAGTAATCAGAACTGCTGAAAAGAGGATCCCTGGCAGCTGGGGCTGAGGCTGTAATACTATGCACGCATTCTTTTGCAAAAATATCACAGGTGCATTGCCCTATGAGAAAATCAACAGGAAGAAATCCTGCTTGCTGCCACTCACTCTTCAAGGCAAGAGGGGCTCAGGAAAGAGTACTAAACCTGAGGAGGAGGCAGGAGAGGATTTAAGAGAGAAGACAGTAATTGTTCTTAGCTTTTACAATGTAATATTGATCTGCTGTCTACAGCAATGGCTAAGCCTTCTTGAAGCTGAGGACACAAGAGAAGTGAGGATAAAGAGCTACATGTCCATGGAGCACAGGAGATGGCATACAAGTCCTGTGCCTCACTTCTGACCCAAGGACTAGAAAAACTTCATTTCTTTATCCTGGACCAGCACATCTGTGAACTACATCACTGCCCAAACAGGGCACACAGCCCACACCCCACAGGAGGAAGAGTTAAACACTTCCAGCAATGTTGAGCAGGAAAGAATGCAAAAGCCAGAGACCAGGAAGATGTAACACTAGGCAAAGAGGGGAACTGAATGAGTTACACCAGGATTAATAAAAACAGTTAATAGAGGAAATTGAATATACTATCTTGAAAGAACCTTGGGGGAGGGAGAGGGGTTAAACTGAGGATCCATCTCTTGAGAAATAATAGAAGTCTCCTTGGTTAGAACAGTTCAACACAGATTACCCTGACATAACTAAATAAAGAGTACACAGAGCCACTGATGAGAAGGCTGATCTTTTTCATCTCAGAATTCAGCAGATTAGATACAGCTGGAGTTTTCCCACTTGGCTCCCCTCCAAACAGCCATACACACCTTGTTTGATAGTTATCACAAACCATATTTCAGAGAGGGTGGACAGCAAAAATTTCCTGGAGTTTATCTGGCTGCGTCCTTAAGGAGATTGTTACCAGATAATCATAATCTTTTGCACAGCATTAGGAAAGTACACAAAGGATCACCTTCTGTCACCCCTGACAAACTACATCTGGGTTATGGGAAGGGAAATACTCACAGGAATTCTGAAAATAATCTCACCTCAACCTCCCCATCATGATATCACCAAGTGAAATCCTCCTTCTAATCACTGGCCAGGACTTCAAGGTTAACAGCCATATCAGGACCATGGCATCAGATCACCTGCGGTCCTGGAGGAGTTCAGTTTTCACTGTCTCCTAAACAGCCAAAGCCTGTAGGCACAACTATGGCACCAAAGTCTGGATTCATAATGCAGATATGACATGCTGCTCTGGAACAGGTAATTCCAAAGTGCTCAAGCCTAGGGGTTCCTAGTGAACAGTTATGTGAAGTGCTTTTATAAACTGCTGGACATAACAGATTTTAAAGTATTACCTTACTCAAAAGCAACTTGAAAATCATCAGCCTGGGGTTCCAGCTTTGCTCTTGCAGGTACCTTCACAAAGACCTGCCTATTTCAGTTACCTTGTTTTAAAACTGCAGCTGAAGCCTGAGAATCAAGTTGTGTGCTTTCCTCCTTTTGCGCAACCATCTAAAGCAAAGCAAATATTCTGCCAGCCGTGTCAGTCTTCGTGAGATTTCTGTCTTATGCCTTCAACACCAGAAGTATCACATGGTCTTCAGAAGATTTATGTAACTAAAGGTGACCATTTTTAGCAGGACTAAGAGAAAGACATAAAAATTTCCAGCACAAGTGGGCAACAGCTCTACCATGTGCAGAGATGTTACTTTTTACTTAGGTGAGATGAACTTGTAAGGTACAGGGACTGAATTCAAAGTCTGCAGGCCACCTTAGGAACCAATGCAATCATAGCTTCTTCTCAAGCAAGAATGAGCCTAACCACCCTGGCACCAGGCCAGGAAGAGGTCACCACAGAGTAAAAAAGTATTAGATGGTGATACAGAACTTATAAAAGTTCTGTATCCCTAACACTAAGCCAGACACTGAAGGAAGAACAACTGGGGATCTTCAACTAAAATATACTTTACAAAATGTTAAATGGCAGATACGTAACAAAACTGTGTGACATTCATACTTTCACTGCTATGCCTTGAGTATATTTTACAGAAACCTGTCAAATGCAATCAGACTTGTTTATTCTGCATTTAAATGTAGGACCTGAGGCAGTCTGGTTTCAAAAAAGACAGAAAAAGCACATATTGTCCCTGGCAGTTGCTTAGTTTTTATAACAAAGGCAATGCCATGTTCACTCTTTATTCCAAATAAAATTATTTCAATGCTCTGTTGCATTAGAATCTTGAGAATATTTCTGCTTGCTGCCTCAGCACAGGTAGAAAAATAATTAAAATGTAAATTAAAGGAAGAAATATAGAAACAAAGTGCCATTAACACACAACTCACTGCTCCCACCCCCCTCTCCCAAAATCAGGTGATTCTTACAGAGCATCCTCCAAATCTCACGTAAGCCACTGTTAATGGATTAAGTGTCAGTGTCCCTTCTGGCTACAGTTTATAAATTCTTATCTGCTTAAGGTTGCTCCAGAAAGACTTCCAGCTGACAGCATGATTCTTAAAGAGACAAATCCTCCCTGGCAGTTTACAATTGCATACCAACAACTACAGCATTGCGTGTGCCTTCATGTTTGCACTGACGGGGGATGATGGTTCACTGTTTAGGATTCAGCATCCCCCTCCTTTCAAGTCTGATCTGAAGCACCACCATTGCTTGGGCTGAGTTTCTCACTGACTTCATCCGTGACAGGGCAATGAGCATTCCTAACATCTTGCATGGCCACTGAAACAGCCATGACAAAACCACCCTCAGTTCACACCACTGCTCCAAATCACCCAACTACAGACAAAGGGGGCAGAGAGATTCAGCAGAAGAATAATGCAGGTATCAGAAAATCCTTCCCTATAACAACCAGTTGCCCAGCTCATCATTAACCATTTCCACTCCTCTAGACAATGCCAAAGAAGTATCCAAAAGCCCAGCAAAAAATGAGGGTGAACAGCACTATTTTCTCTTTTTCTATTTTCCCTATTTTCCATGCTGGTGGCTGCAAATTCTGCAACACATAGAGGAAGCTGCAACAAGTTATAATCTGAAATGGCTGTTAGAGCAGCACCTTCCCTCATTCTCTGCTTACAGAGAGATGTGTGACATCCTCTACCTCCATTAGCCAGTGCCTTTGGCTGTGAAAATTACCTTAGAGAAGAGGCACCCAGGTAGTGCTGAACACACAGCGTGTGTGTGTACTGCTGCCCGAAAAAATTGCATTCATGAACAATGGGCTATTTTCTGCTAGCACCCTCCCAACTTCCAGCAAAAGGGGGTAAAAAAGAGCAGAGATAGAGGAGACCTTTGGCAGGCTCTCCTGTCCACATTACAGAAGTCACCCCCATCCCATTTGGTGCCAACAGGTCCCTAGGAGTTCAGAAAAGGATGGCATCCTTATGAGGAAGAGAATAGCCACATCAGCGAGACAAGGAACCCCAAATACTCCCTGCCCTCCTCCAGGACTGACAGTCCCATGCAGAAACACATTCATGGAGCCCTCAGAAGAGACACAAAAGCAAAGCCTTCATTCACCGATAAGCACTCGGGGACTCTCGGTGCTCTTACTCCCCCAAATTGTTGCCCTTTGCTTTCCTAGGGCACCTTTGCCTGGGAAGAGCCGTGCACCCATCAGCCCTGCACGGGGCACTGCCGGGGCAGAAGTGACAGCGCTGCGGGCAGGGCAGGGGGGTCACACCGCGGGAGGGCTGGGGGTGCCAGGCACGGAGCCATCCTTGGGGAGCGCAGCCTGACTCAAGGTGTCCTGCCCGGCGCGGGTGCTCAGGGTGCTGTGTGTACCCGGGATCTAATCCCAAGCTGGGGTCCCTGCGGTACCCAGATTTGCGTCCTGCCCGGCTGCCCATCCGATCCGGGGTGTCCAGAGCACCCATCCCGCTCCGGGCTGCTCCAGGTGCCCCGGGATCCCGCGGGTGCCCGCCTGCAGGGGGATGCTCGGGGTGCGGGAATGCCGGGGCCGCTCGGGGTGCCGGGGCTGCCGACCGAGCCGTACCTTTGAGGCGGTGGTGGCGGGCGCGGTGCAGGCGGCCCTGGCCGCCGCGGGGCAGCGCGGGGATGCTGGAGAAGCGGCTCCCCATGGCGGCATCCGAGCCGGGCCGGGCCGGGCGGCACCGCGCGAGCTCTGTCTGCCCGCGGGCTGTGCCGGCGAGGGCGGAGGGCAGCGGCGGCTCCGAGGGTGCCGAGAGCCGCGGTCCCGCCCGCCGGGCCCCCCGCCCTCCGCTCGGCGGGGCGGGGCGGCGGCACCGCGGCCCCCCCGCCGCGCCGGTCGCCATGGAGACACAGCTGTTCCGCCGGGGGGGCGCCGCCCCGCCCAGATGTGGCACCGCTGGAGCGACAGGTGGGGACGCGGAGCCTCTGCCCACCCCCGCCCCAGCACAGGGACACCCGGACCGCAAACCCGAGGGGCAGACGCAGGGTCAGGGACATCATTGCCTTCCATTGCCAACCCGGGACTCGCCTCGCACCTGCTGGCCCTAAACCCGCTTCCCCAGCCTCCTTCTTCCACAGGGGAAATTGTGGCCAAGCCCGGAATCCAGGCGCTTCAAAGAAGCTGCATCATGCATGGACACTCACCCAAGCAGACCGGCTGTGGTGGGATGCAGCTGTCCTAAAGCAATTAGGATTCTCCTGGATACAAACAGGTCATAGCCACACTCGGGAAGGCAAAGAAGATGGCAAGCAGCTCCTCGCACAGTCCTAGGGCAAGTGGACAAGCAGGCAGCTAGTCAGAGGGGTGAGTAGGTCTGTTTCTGGTCCTTGACCTACCCAGTAAGTTGTGTGTGTGCCTGCAGCCACCACTTTACTCAATCCAGGGGCTCAAAGCAGTGAAAAGTTCCAGTCAAGCTCAGGGAAGTAGGGTAGGGTAGAGATGGGATAAAGGGAAACACTTCACCGACAGATCTGTGAAGGTCAGGAGCTCATACTGGTGAAGCACCAGCATGGGGCACTGCCTGAACGTGTGTCACCTGAAAACTGCTGCAATACAAACACATCCCACGTGAGCTGGGACTGCCCTGCGTGGCTGCAGCCCCCTGAGCCTCTGCACAGCTCCAGTGTCACAAACACACATTACTCACACATGCCCGGGACATGCCCACGTGGCTCATTTTCTTGCCCTTAGAGAGAAGGTCCTGTGTTAATACCACATCTGTCCACTACCAGACATGTGGCTCCTCTTCTCACTGCCCTCCCTGGAGCCACCCAGGCCACTGAGGTGCTCCACAAAAGCAGCCATGGCTATACAGGATGAGAAGGTTCTCCTTGTCCTCACCATAGCAGCAACTTGGCCACAGGGAAATTTCTCCTGTGACAGCCACAACCCAAGACCTGGAGTTGTTCAGTTGGTACCACAGTAAAATCAACCCACAATTGATGCTGTCTATTGCATAATTTCATTACCTTTGTCTTTTAAGAGGACTACATGCTCTGAAGACATCGTTATAAGCTTCATCTAGAGTTTTAGTGGATGCTGCATTCAGCCATGTTGTGGCTATAAAATGGCTTTGTCCTTCCTTCTGTAGAGCAAAAATTTAATTTTCAGCTTTCTTCCAAAAGGTGATTTTGCTATCTATCTGCCTCCACCCTCCATTTTCCCTCCTCTTAGTAAATGTAAGAAAAGCCCTTCCTGGTCAAGGACCACATTTGGATATTTTCATCCTGAAAACAGTTACTGCTGCAATTTCCTCATCCAGAAAGCCAAGAGACCTCTGTTCTATGAAACCACTCAAGTATCTAACTTTCAGAGAAGGGGAAGGTTATTTCTGAGGTTAAATAACAAAACTTTTTAAGAAATATTGAGAATCTCAACCAAAATATGATGCTTAAATCCAGATGAGAATTTCTTTTGGCGTGTATGATCTACAGAGCCAGGGTGAAGAACCATTACTGTCCTGCCCAGCTTTTAATTGCACTATGAGTGAGATGTGCCCCTTTTTTGCATCCTTTCTCATTCTCTCAGAAGTAGAAAGGAACAACCACACCAGTCAGAGTGAAGCCATGGTAGAGTGGTTCAAAGTCTGGTTCAAACATGAGCCCTCTGTTCAGCTCTTCTGGTGTTTGGGTCCTGCTCTGGCCCCATGCTGTTCCACCAGCTGCCTCCACATGCAGGAAGCTCAAGAGCAGAGGTGAGACAGAGGCTGAGACTGAGTCACATCTTTGTTTAGATCCTTTGTGAACATCAACACTCTATTTCCAGCGAGCTCATTACAGTGAGCCCAAAAAGAAACAAATTACCTGAGATGAGCTCAGTTGATTAGGGCATGGTGCTAATGACACCAAGCTTGTGGGTTCAATCCCTGTATGGGCCATTCACTTAAGAACTGGACTTGATGATTTTGTGGGTCCCTTTCAACTCAGAATATTCTATGATTTGTGACACAAGACTGGAATGGCCCTTAGAAGGGCAATTCCACCTCCTCATCACACAATACCTTCCATCCTGTTGAACGTAATTGTCTCCAACAAACAAAAGAAAAAAAACCCCTGTTCTTTCTCCATTTTTTTTTCTCTAATATCTCTTTCTGTCTGTCCTTGAATTGCAAGAGATCTTGAGCAAGGACTGTCACTTTTCTGGGAAATTTCATGTTTAATGTGGCAGAAAGAGGTGTCAATGTAAGGCAATTATAATGGAAAGAGGCATCTTTCCATTGTATAAAAGAGATCTTGAAAAAGGAAAGGTACCAGTTTTGGACTGGAGACATAGGGAACATCCATGTGATAGCACAGGAAGGATTTTTGTGCAGTCATCCATTAGATGACAGGCACTCCCACATGTGAGTGCAGGCTGCTACCTGTGCCTTGTGTGATAGCTCACCACGTGGGGAGCCTGTTCCCAGAAGGACCACGGGCCGTCTGCTTCTACCAAACCCACCCTGAGTTTAGACACCAGGCACCAATTTAACCTTGGTGCCATAGTGTGAATACTAAACTATGCCCCACATGGCTGGTGGGGTCTGTGCTCCACCACCTCCCCGTTCAACCTGGATAACCAAGGTAAAGCACAATTCCATCAGTGAAAGGAGGAAGCCTTACAGGCCTGCTTTAGCCACTTGTTCAGCTGCCATGAGGGATGGGCTTTGCTTTGCCTGGCACAGCAGCCTGCCGCTGACACCACGGGGACAAATGCAAAACAGCACCAGGGGTTGTTGTGATTGTACCCTGGTTCACTTTATCAGAGTCTTTGAATTTGCTCCTTATATTGGTTGGAGAAGGAGTGAAAAGGAGGGGCTGCTTGCTGTCCTTGCCAACTTATGTCAGCTTTTCCTGCAAAAAATGTTGAGCAGGGTGAGAAATATGCTCTGTGATCACAGGGGCCCTTGATAGACAAAACAGGATCACACTGATTCTGGGTTTTTGCCTTTTTCCTGTGCTCTAGCAACAGGGAGCATTGAAACAGCTTGCCAAAACTGCAGGGCTTTCACACCATCAAGTCAGGACTTTCCTTGTGTGTTAGTGTTATCAATTGAATTGGCTAATTAGAGACATGCAATTCCTTGGTACCAGCCCTGCCAGGCAGTGGGGACCTGGTGCAGAGCATGCTGTGGAACAGAGCAGGGTGAGTTCACCTAAAACTGAGTGACCTAAAACTCCTCTCCACTTTCTGAATTTGTGCATGGGCATCTGACTTCCAGTTTGTAATTTGTGCTTAGAAGTCAATGGAGACAACACTGACACTCCATTAATTTCATCTGAAGTTAGTATCAGCTAACATTGTGATTATAATTATGGACAAACACAAGGAGAAAGGCTCTGCACAGCCACATCTGCTCATGGAACAAAAGTCACAAAACCACCCATCAATTCTCAGTTCTCCACCAGAGAGCTGGGTGCAAGGATGAGCTGCAGCTGCTCGGCTCAGGCATATGTGAAAGACCACAGAGGCAGGATGTGGAGGAGGATTTGTGAGAGGCTGGAGGGTAGGATCTACGTGCTGGATGATCAGGCAGATGAGCAGCTGCTAGGCTGGGTACACAGGGGTGCCTTCAGACTGCAAAGGGGGCGAGGTCAGATGAGTGCACTTGCATTTAAGGACTCTGGGTATTTTGTAAAGGTCTCTAACTCTGAAGAACTGTGCAACAATGAAGAAAACTAAGTAAAAATTCCCTTTTTAATGCCTATGTTTGCGCCTTCTAGGCACATCAGCCCTCAAGGGATTTCACAAGAAACCAGGTAATCACAATCACAGAATAATATGAGGAATCAGAAGAACAGGAGTAGAGATGAAGCCTGAGCCACCATTCCCTGAAATGTGGGCAAACACACCAGAATTCATATTCTGAGAGGATGCTCAGAGGAAGAGTTGCAACCCAGGGAATAAATGTCACAGGATAAAACACAAAGCAGTGAATGGGCACTAGCCAGGCCCTTTTGGATTTGAAACTCATGGGGTCCAGCAGCCTGGACCACACAGTGGCACACAAGTGAGAGTGCTGGGAATGTGGCACTTTAAGCATCAAAGGGTCTGAAAATGGAAATATGCTGTACATCCCTTCCAGAGGAAGGTTTGATCCACTAGGCCCTGCTGACTTCACACACCTATTAAGCTAATTCTTTCCCTTATATATTGAAGAAGGATCTCAAAAATGTTGCTTTAATTGCTGTAATTAAATGCCTGGCATCATAACTTCAACAGATGTGGAAGAAAAAGACACACCTATCCATGAAATGTACAGATCTGCATGCTGCAGGGAGAAAAGATCATCTGGGAGATATTCATTGTATGTAATTGTTGGGCTAATCCCTAATTTGTGTATTTTAAAATGACTGAATGAAACAGGCCTCCTTGATGTGGCATGCATCACACAAAAATGAAATACCCTGCAGCCACCACGTCAGGAAGATTTACCCCCATTGCTGTCACCTTGGAAACTTATGAAAACAGGGTGTCAGACTCAGATGGGACAGAAGCAAATTTGGCCTTGTGAGTTAAAATAGGATAGGAAGACAAGAGACCACTCTCAGTCACAGGTGAACAACTGTGCTTGTGTCTAACAGGACAAGAGATTTCACAGCAGCAACCAGAGGAGTTACTTCTAGAGATAATAGGTTAAAGTGAAGAAAGGAAAAATGATCTGTAAATATAAAACCTCACAAGATGCTTAGTCTCAGACAGCAGTCAAAAAAAGCCATCATGACAAGTGATTGTCCATTTTTGTGCTTTTCCCTGAGAAAACGAAATCCCATGTC